TAATTTAATTATTAGAAACCTCTCATAAAATTACTTCCATTGTTCGATGGCAATTTAAGACAATTTCATTATCTCAAAAGTATTCATAGAGACTCATGTCCCACTCTGAAAAGATTTCATCATTGGATTCATTAATATTTTTTTCAAGAAAATTATTTTTGAAAACAATCAATACAATCCTCCAATCGTTTGATAGGATTTTATTTTAATATATATCCTTCAATCATTTAGTGAGATTTTTATTTGAAAATTTTTTTATGAAAATTAAAAAAAATTATTAAATCTTTCAATAATTTGATAAAATTTAACTTAAAAATTTAAATTCTCTAATCATTTGATAAGATTGAAATTTTTTTTTAAAAAAATCCATTAACTACAATTGTTTGATAGTGCTTAATTCGATATTTGAATATTCCAATCATTTAGTAAAATTTGATGAATTTATTATAAAAATTTATTTTAAATATGCATTAAAAAAAAAACAACTAAGTGAAGTAAATAAATATACAAATAAGCCAAAAATAGGAATTACCAAATAAATAGGACTAAATTCGATTAGCTCCATCAAGCTTACTCCATATCTGGGCAAATAGATTGGCTATAAAGCCAAATATTATCCAAGGCAAATTTCAAGCCTATTCCACGTTTGGACTAGTGAGAAACCAAGGCCAAGTTAATTAAAATTTCCAACTATTTTAGTACTTTCCTTTCCTACCATTGTCAATAGTCAAGCCCTTTTTGTCTTCTTCAATACAACTTGTTTGTCTTTACATCCTTTAGTCCAGCGGGGCCACCTTTAATTTTTCACCAACAGCTATTCTCTATTGCGACAGATTCCACACCTCAACTGTTATTTTCCTTTTCTTTTCTTCCAATCTTTTATTTTCCTTGTTGAATCAAGACTCTAAAAAGGAAACCGAAACCTTATACCAAAAGATCCAAAGCCTTGAGTTGCCGTTGGTTCTACTGATCCACCTTCGTTCCCAGTCTCCCTTCCCTTTGATCCTGTCGATTCCCAACTCTCAAAAGAAACCCTCAAATCATGTAATCACCTACAACTAAAAATCACTACTGCTAGGATTTTTCAGAATTACACCAAAACATTTCCAAATCTTGAATCAAAACACTAAACAAGACTACTTGATTTTGAACTATTATTGTTTCAGCTGGTTGCTTTCCCTCTATGTTTTTCTTTTTATCTGATTTCCTGTGTTTTTCACTATGAATTGTTTTTGTCCATTACAGCATTTTTATAGAAAAAAAAAAAAAAACAAAAGGAGTTTTAGCTCTATCAGGATTAGAATTTCTTTTAAAAGGCTAAAGACTATCCCAAACTGTTTTAAGATCACCACCGAGTAAACTTTTAGCTTTTCCCTTTTTATAATAATCATAATTTGAATGTAAAATCATGACAAGAATGGTGAAATTAAACAAACTGATATAACTAAGGATAATCAACAAATAATAAAAAAATTAAATAAAACAAAATGATAAATAAAAAATATATACAAATAAATGCAATGAAAATAAAAAGATAAAACAAGAAGTAAAAATAAAAATAAAATCTAAAATTTTACTATTAAGCTTAAATTAAATTTAAATCTTATTAGTTTGAACCTTTGAGCTTGAAATTAAATGGGTCCAATTGACTTAAATTTCAAATTAAATAAAATATTTATAATGAGTCAACCAATAATTTTTTTCATGTTTGATTGAAGTAAGTATATGTTTTTACGAATACATTAAAACAATGTTTATCTATATAAATAAATAAAACTAAAATTTATTTAGATTGTTTACAAAGCTAACCTTATTTATCCTATTATTTACATTATTTCATAAAATAAAAAAAATGTCCAAACAATTTGTTACTTGAAACGAAACTGATAGCAGCGACAGCAATGCTAGCAAGGACAGCGGCTACAACAATAATGATTGTGATTCGACGGCTTTAAGTGTATGAATATTGAGATATGTCGAGTGATTTTGAAAAAAATATTTATTAAAAATATTAAACATTGCATTTGTCATTTGATAAATGTTATGCTTGTTAAAATTTTTTTTGAATGATTTGTTAAACATTATATCTGTAATAATAGAAATGTCGTCTTTGAGCATAGATTTTATTTATAATTTTAAAATGCTGTGCTTCTTTAATTATCAAATATTATATTTATAATTCTACAAATATCATGTTTAATTAAAAAATTACATTTATAAAACTAAAACATGATACTCGTTGTGCTTGTTTAATTGTTAAACATTGTGTTTATAATTTTACAAATGTCATGTTTAATTAAAAGATTATGTTTATAAGATCAAAACATAGTGATTATGTACTTGTTTATAAATCAAAATATAGTAATTGATTCTTTATCAAACATTACATTTATTGTGTTAGAAACATCGTGTTTGTTATTTAATGTATTTATATAACAAAAACATCGATGTTTTTTCAATGAATTTTTTTTATTTGTTAAATATTGTATTTATAAGTTTAAAAATATCATTTTTGAATTTTATTATTATTTTTTTGCATAATATAACACCTTATTTTTAACATATTAAAAATATATTTTTTATTTTTTTGTTTAATGTTGTCACATTTTTAATTTTAATAACATAATTGGTAGTTAAAATGTTTGTCATGTAAGAATGATAATAGAGCAGATATTTGTTATTTTTGAAATATCTATATCTGAATCCGTTTAATATTTATAATATTCAAATTTAAATATCTGTTTAAGTTTAATATCATTATCTAAATTCGAATATATTTAAATAAACATTATCTTTTTAAATATTCGAATCTATTAAGATATTTGCTTATTTAAATTTGTTGTCAAAATATAAAATAAATAAAAATTTAATTTAAAATTTAAGTTTACTTTTAATTAATAATAAATAAAAGTTATTTTTTAATGTCCAAAACCTTTTACAAGCATAAACTTTTAGATACTTTATATACACATATCATATATATATTCGAATATTTATTATTATTCATTAAAATTTAAATAGATTCAGATATTGAATATCCAAAGATACTGTTGTATCAACTCTAAATCTATCATAAATAATAAATCTCTTTTTCAAATCCATTATTTATTCATTTATGATTTTTTAAATCCAACATAAATGAATTGAAAAATATAGAGTATCTATTTATTTACTATTCATTATGATTCTTATTGTCACATGTTATTCATATATAATAAAAGACATTATAATAAAAAATCTTTATTAGGTTATTTGAGATTTCATGAATCAAACATAAAAATTTAATATTCTTATGATAAAAAATCACTTTTTTTCAAAAATTCATATTTCTTCAAAAATTATTATTATTTTTTAAATTTAAAATTTTACAAACGAAATATCCCTAAAATTATTTTATATGTTACGGCGTCAGACGCCACCCCTCCATACCTTCCACTTTTATTATCTACAATCATTCTTGGCTTCTTCCACTCATTCTTTCCCAAAGTAGCTGACTTTTTATGAGGTGGTCCTTGTTACCAATTTCAAAATGATGACTCTTAATACCTAATTAGTTGGAACTGTTTTTTTCTATATTTCTTTTACCAATTTGTCAAAATTTGTGTTTTTGATAGCTAATCAAATGTATTCTTTAATTTTCATCAATAAAAAAATCTAAAAATAAGATGCTTCAACATCAACATGATAAAAATAAATATTTTAAAAATTATTAATATTTTGAAATAAAAAATTTAAATATTAAAATTTAAATCTTAAATATATTAAATATTATTTTGTAAATAATTATATAAATTAATTAAACTAAACTTCAAATTCACAAAATATATCAAATTACATCTTGCAAGAATCATGTTTTTGAAATTAATATCGATATGAATAGTTAAAAATATGCACACTAAAAATTACTAATCTATAAAACAAATAAACTTATTAATAAAGTCAAGTCTTTTTTTTTTTATTTTATGCTCAATTAAACTTATATAGTAGTACCTTTGTATTAAAAGTAAATGTTGTTATCTAGATAATTTAAAACACAATAATATAATTAATATAAAAATAAAAATGATTCGATTTAAAATTTTAATAAAAAATAATATAAATTTGATAAAAATAAAAAAATTATAATTTTATATTCACATATATTATAACATATAATTTTTATATAAAATATAATATTAAATATATAAATTATTAATATTATATATAATATAAAGGTATTATCAAATTTAAGTCTACAGTAATTTCATATAGTAAACAAATAATTATTGAATCCAAATTTCATGTTGTAGCTTGTTTCTCAAATTCACATGCGTTCTCCTTGTCATAGGGAAATGTGTGAATCCCCAAAATTATGAAAGACGGTCCTACACTTCTGTCTGTTTCGCTTATTTTCCACATTGTGTTAACAATATCCCATCATTCTGTTTTTTTTTTGGGTTAACAAAGTCCTCAACTTACAATAATTAATGAATACGGACGGCAACCAGGTCTAAAGCATGTATGATTTGATTTTGCCCTCTATCCACTTTCTTGCTCGGTAGGTATGGTGCACCTATGGGGACGGTATGTGCTTAATTATGTATCATTTATTTCCTTCACCTAATTTTAGGAATGTGAATGGATAAAATACAAAGAAAGTAGAATATTTCATATTTCTATTCTTAAATTTTATATTATATTTATTTTTATATTAATATTTTAAATTTATTTTTATTCTCATCTCATGAATATTTAATGAATATAAGTAAATCTCATATTTATAATTTTTTTAAAATTAAAATTTATTTTTTTGTTTTTATTTTTATTTTATATATTTAGATAATTTTTTATAAATATATATTAAGATATATTTTTTCAATAAAAATATATTAATTTGAATTATGTAAAATAATAATTTATATTATTTAATAAAAATTTATTTATTACATATATATAAATATATGTAAAATATAAATACGTAACAAGTATTATTTTTTTGTCTTTATTTTTATATTTATTAAAAATTTAAAATTATATCCTTTTTTATTTTTGTCCTCAAAATAAAATATCCATTTTCGGTCTAAAAAATGGAGTTCCCACATTAAGATTACCCCTGCATACCCTCCATCCAACCATAAATTTTTTTTTTCTCGCACATTGTAGAGGTCTCCAAACTTGTGTTATCCTGCACCAACAGAAAACCAGGAAGTATTTATGAGAAAACTGCTTTAACAGCACATACACAAGGTTAGTTCCTACCTTGGATTTACTTTTCTCTTCCAAGTTTAGCTAATAAAGTAAAAGAGTTAGCCTGATCGCTACAGTCTAATTGAATTCCGTAATCATGATTTAGTACAATCTTTTTTGTGGCTGGAAGAAGTTTTTGGTTTGAGTTTCTGTCATGGGTACTTTGGTTTCCATATCTGAACACAAGGGCAAGGGGTACATCATTTTCTTGAACATTTCATTTCTCTTGGTAGCATGTGTTTTCTTGATGGTATGTTTTAGGTCTTCAGAATTTCATGTTTTAAGCAGCTATAATTCCAATATTGACAATATTCAGCAAGATTGTAAGGGCCTGGAGAAGATAGATGATTTCAAAGCCAAGTGCTCTAACCTTAAGTTCAATAACCCATGTGTTTCTCAAGGCTATGTTGATTATCTCTACCTTTTTTACTGCAATTTTGGAAGATTTCCCCTATTGGGTCATTGCCTTTTAATTCTTTGGCTCCTTGTATTGTTTTTTCTTTTGGGAAACACGGCCTCTGAATACTTTTGTTATTCTCTTGAAAGCTTGTCGACCCTGTTAAAATTGTCTCCTACACTTGCTGGTGTTACTCTCTTGTCTCTTGGCAATGGTGCCCCGGATGTGTTTTCCAGCATAGTCTCCTTCATGGATAGTGGAACACGGGAGATTAGCCTAAATACAATTCTGGGGGGTGCTTCTTTTGTAACTTGTGTTGTGGTCGGGACCATAAGCACTTTAGTGCACCGGAAACGGGTTCAGGTTAACAAACCTGCCTTTTTAAGAGATGTTTGTTACCTCCTCTTGGTTCTTGCATCCTTAACTTTGATATTGATTTATGGGAAAATCAATCTTTGGGGAGCAATAGCGTTTTCTTCAATGTATATTGTTTATGTTATCATTGTTTACATCATATATGTTTTTTGGAATTCTGGTGGCATGGACAACAAGGATTGGGATTCAAGTTATAAAAGTGGTTTGAGCATACCAATTTTGAATGAAATTGAGAAAGTAGAGATTGATTGTTTAGAGGAAGGGAACCTGGAAGATGAAAAAGGAACAGAATTCAGGAAATGTTGCTTTTGTTTAAGTCTACCAACTCCTTGCAGTATGTTACTTTGGATCCTTGAAATGCCCCTTTATTTACCTAGGAGATTGACAATTCCAATTGTTTGTCAAGAGAGATGGTCTAAGCCAATAGCAGTTGTTTCAGTGGCATTGGCACCAATTCTCTTGTCTGTACTTTGGGACCTTCAAGATGACAATCTCATCTTTAATGCAGGCTTGGTGGTCTATGGCATTGGTTTCCTGTTTGGAATCACTTTGGGTGTTCTTGCATATTTAAAAACCGAAAAATCTAGCCCACCAAAGAAATGCTTGTTTCCTTGGCTAGCTGGAGGGTTCTTGATGAGTGTGATTTGGAATTACATTATAGCTCAAGAATTGGTTGGCTTATTAATTTCACTTGGGTACATCCTTGGAATAAGTCACTCTATCCTTGGTCTCACAGTCCTTGCTTGGGGTAACTCACTTGGAGATCTGGTAACTAACTTGACAATGGCATTGAATGGTGGTCCAGAAGGGGCACAAGTGGCTATATCTGGCTGTTACGCTGGCCCCATCTTCAACACTCTCTTTGGTTTAGGCATGTCTCTCGTTGGTTCTGCCTGGTATGGATACCCTTCACCTGTTCAGATCCCTAAAGACCCTTATCTCCTGGAAACACTGGGTTTCCTAATTGCTGCCTTGCTATGGGCACTTTTGGTTCTGCCAATTAAAGACATGAGGCTTGATGGGGTCCTGGGAGGAGGCCTTTTTCTGATCTACTTGACTTCCATGTCTTTAAGGCTGATTCAAGTAGTTGGACCCCTCCAACTTCATACCTTTACCTAGTACTATTTATCATTTGAAAGCTATATGTAATTATATTTTTGCACAATGGATGCAGCAACCCAGAGATAAGAAAAGGTGTAGCAGTTGCTGGATTTGAATCAAACTAATTGATGTCACTTCTTAAAACTATATGTAATTTTTCTTTGTACGAACCAACTGACTTAAATTCAAAGTTCAGCTTTATGTATTTATAAGATGTATATATTGCAATCAAATTTTCAATATGCCTTCATGTATAGTAACAACTAATTTAGTGGTTGTATTTTCATTGACTGGTATGTACACCTAATTCTATTTCCAAACATCAATGAAATCTCCATTCTTTCTAAACCATCATTTGGAACAGTCAACACCCTCCAACTGATAAGTTGATTAGTCCTGAAGTGAAGTTCCAAAAAATGCACTTGATATAACAGAAACCATGGTTTGCAACAAAGTCATCGGAAAACACATAGCAAATGCTTGAAACTTTGCGGGATTTAAGTGATTGAAATTATGGTAAACAACCACAGTATGATTTGTTGATAAAATATAGATCCTTAATTTCAGTGATGAAGTTAAATTTTTGACGATTTCAAATGTAAAATTAAAAAAAAATTATGGTAGAATCAGGTGAAGCTGAAGTTTTGATGGGGAGTTGTCAATTTCTACGGGTCTAATCTACATTAGAAGAAATGTATTAACCAGTATAAAATCTCAGAATCTCTCGCTCGTATGAAACGAAATGAAATTCATTTTTTAATACATATGAAGAAAAAGATGGAAGCAATATTTCCCAAAATAAAAAATCTGAAGTCAACCTTAGTTGCGATAAACCACAATCAGGAGGGGTAAAACTGAATGCTGATGGAAGCTGAAACAAAAGAGAGACAAAGGCTGGTGCAGGCGGTGCAATCAGAGGAGATGGGGCAACTGGGCAATCATTTAGCAGAGCTTTGAGGAATCTTTCATGGAATCAACTTACCAAGGATATGGGATTTGGATAAAGTTGTGAGATAGAATCGTTCTGTAATATTAATAAAGCAGAAGACTCCACCTCAACACTAACTTTATCCCATTATGCAAACAATCAAAAACCTCCTTAAACGCTTGGAGTTGGCGTTTGGAAATTATAATTCGAAAAAGTTTATGTTTGTAATGTTACTTTTTTTTCTTTCAATTAAATCAGTATAAGGATATAATAGATTTGTTACGCTGATTTATTCAATCAACATAATCAAATCCTTTGGAGCTCATTGGGTTGTCCAACCAACATAAGTCCAATTGCTACGATATTGCTCTTCAAGTATTGGCTTGCCTCTCGCCCAAGGGCGGGCTCCTCCAACATTTCTACTAACATCTCATCAAGTCTGATACCAATTGAATATTTGATTTTTAATTTATATAGAATCATTAAATATAGATCATATATATTTGAAATTATTAAATACAGCTTATAATCACTCACGTAGATTCTTCTCGAATTTCACGGATACTTCTCATTAACTGTCAGCTATTTTTTATGCATACATCTTATTTCCTCCTCCTTCCTTAAATCCTAAATACTTCGTTGATTTGGGTATTAGAGTATATTCCAAAAACTCAATATCAATATCTTTGACCATGTTTTCTAACTGCAAGTTCAGGTCACTTCGCCTTTTAACCTTTTATCAACTCATTCCAGTTAAGACACTAAAAAAAAACCATAAAAAGATTAAAAGTTAAGAAAAAACCTCCTTAAATACTGATTGGACCTGGAAACTATACAATATTCCTAGAGAGAAAAATTTTATAACTGACTGGCTCACAAATAAAAGTTTCATGTCCAGGATTACAATTACATCATCAGGCACGGGTTGGGGAGCTTTCTCACCAACTTGCAGATTATATGAGCGTTGCTTATCCTTGATTAGTTTAATTGGTTTTTTTTAAGGGTCATTGGCTCTCCTTCGTACAAAAAAAACAAATCGAATTTTAGACTTATCTAAATAGAGGTAAAAATGATTAGGACAAAATTAATTATAATTCAAATGAAATTGAGTTCATAGATACCACTTGTGCATGAGTCTTTTCAAACATTTCTCAATTATTTTGCTGCAGGGAACTAAGCCAATAATTGTACTATCCTACAACTTTTTTTTTTTTTTTGTCTGTGTTGAAGGTACTGTCATCCAAAGCTAGAGGTCAATGAAATAAGACGAAAATCCCAAACTTTTTGAAAATCACAGAAACTTACAATTTCAAAAAGTTGGGTGAAAAAAGCAAAAATTTTTGACAATATCTCAATATCATTAGCTTTTCTTTATTGTATCCGTTTATATATCCATAATTTACAAAATTCCATATTTCTCTGGGTCTTGGTAGAAACATGGTGAAAGAATGGTACCTGGTTATATGGAACCAAGGTGCAAAACTCCATTTATTATTATTATTTTTTGTCAACATGCAAAGGAAAGGAGGGAATTGTTGTTAACAGGATCGGTAAAGAAGCAAACAATGAGACAACCAAAATTATTTTCTTCTTCCATTCAACTAAGATTTCAGAGCAATGTGATCCATTTCAAAAGGAACCATTAATGTCAAGTTTGGCTTTTGCCACAACTTTTGGCACTGTACATTTTTTGGTCCCATTTTTGAATAGTTTCAATCAGCTTTTTATCTAGTAAAATTTTGCAGAGTGAAATGTCAGCTTAATCCTCAAAATCAACTTCTTTACAATTACTCCCATAAGAAAAAAATCAATTAACAAGAATAATAAAAAAAAAACCCTTCCCTAAAACTCGGTATTATAAAGATTAGTTCAGTTGGTAGAAGAGAAGTCGTACCGAAATTAAGTCTAAACAAAGCTCGGGATACCCACTATTGAAAAAAATTTGGTTTTTTCGTTGATTTGGAATAAATTTGGTAATTTATATATTTATGTAGAGTAAAATATTAAAAATATGTATATTTCTATTATATTTTATAAAAAAATTATGTGTCATAATTCGTATTAATATAAAAATATAAAATATAAAATTTTAATTTTATTAAATTTATTTATAATTTTTATTAAAATTTTAAATCTTATTATTTTCAAATTTATTATTCATATTATTTTTATATCATATCATCCTATCACATTTAAAATCCACATGTCTAGGCTAAAACGAATCGAGCTGCAACTAGCTTGATTTCAAAATCTTACCCATTATTTCTCTGGGTTGTGTGTAGGCAAAGCAGCAAAGCCCAATTTCAGCTCTAACAGCTTCTCAAATCACAACATAAGACCCATCATCAAGTGGGTGAAATGTCAACATAATTCCATCTTTTGCTAGTTTTTTTATTCGATCAACTGCTTCAAGCAATGCACTGAAAAAGTGGACCAAGTGAATACGATTGGCTGCTGCATGCTTAGTGATTCCTGCCATCAATTCAAGCCTCAAGGACACAATTAAAATATTTCCAGTGAATTCATGCACTGATACGTAGTTAGGCTGCAACTTACAAGATAACTATCGATGTTGGATGTTGTCATGTGGTCATGTGTCAATGTCCTAGTCTTGTTTGGCTCCTTTTAGGATTATTGTCTGTTTCACATTCAAGGGAAATAACGTTAATCACAGTCAATAAGGTTGTCTACAAAGTTTTGGATGTGAAAAGCTTTTCTTGATAAAAGCGTATTTGTTGCCCAACTCCATTTTTAAATTTTAATGTAAATATTGGATTTTTTGGGGGTTAGTTATATATGAAGAGTAACTGTGTTTTATTCTAAAGGTAGCCAGCAAAGATGGATGAATCAGATGCACTCAAAATATGTATGAGTAACAATATTTGACACAAGATTGTTGGTTTATTGCTCGTAAATAAACTACTAGCAAGCTGCATGTTTTTCACCTTTGATATGGAGAATCTTTAGAAAAATAAAAGTAAAAACTTTAAGGAAGCTTCTCCTTTGAAAACTAAAGCAAGGTGGTCCAAATATAATTAAAGTGTGATAATAATAAAGTTAAAGCCAGGTTTGTCGCTAATACATTTTAATAATAAAGTGTAATTTATTAATTTTAATGAATGATTACGAATCATATTTTAAGATTATAAATTAAATAAAAATATCATGAATATAAAAAATTTGTTTATGTTTAATTCATTTTTATTTGAAATATAAATAAATAGAATATTCGATGAATAATTTATGAATATATTTATTTTTTATTTGTTTATTAAAATTAAAAACAATCACAAATAATATTTTAGAATTCGTCAATTAAATAAACAATATTTGACTCAAAATTGTTGGTTTATTGCTTGTAAATAAACTTATAGCTTTGATATGGAGAATCTTTAGAAAAATAAAAGTAAAAACTTTAAGGAAGCTTCTCCAATGAAAACTAAAGGAGGTAGACCAAATATAATTCAAGTGTGATAATAATAAAGGTAAAGACAGGTTTGTAGCTAAAGCGTTTTAGGAAATAGGTTTGATTTTTGTTTATTTATATTTATTTAATTTTAATAAACGATCATAAATAATATTTTAAGATTGTAAATTAAAACAAACTATCATGAATATAAAAAAATTTATCTATATTTTGTTCGTTTTTATTTGAAATACAAGCAAATAGAATATTCGACGAATAATTTATGAATATATTTACTTTTTATTCATTTATTAAAATTAAAAACAATTATAAATAATATTTTAAAATTTATTAATTAAATAAACAATATTTGACTCAAAATTGTTGGTTTATTGCTTGTAAATAAACTATTAGCAAGCTATATGTTTTCACCTTTGATATAAAGAATCTTTAGAAAAATAAAAGTGAAAACTTTAAGGAAGCTTCTCCTTTGAAAACTAAAAAGGGTAGTCCAAATATAACTCAAGTGTGATAATAATAAAGTTAAGGACAGGTTTGCAGCTAAAACGTTTTAAGAATAGAGTGTAAATAGTTTTGATTTTTGTTTATTTATATTTATTTATTAATTTTAACAAATGATCACGATTAATATTTTAAAATTATAAATTAAACAAAAATATCACGAATATAAAAAAATTTATTTATGTTTCGTTCATTTTTATTTTAAATATAAATAAATAAAATATTCAATGAATAATTTATGAAAATATTTATTTTTTATTCGTTTATTAAAATTAAAAATAATCAAAAATAATATTTTAAAATTCATTAATTAAATAAACAATATTTGACTCAAAATTATTGGTTTATTGCTTGTAAATAAACTACTAGCAAGCTATATGTTTTCACCTTTGATATCGAGAATCTTTAGAAAAATAAAAGTAAAAACTTTAAGGAAGCTTCTCCTTTGAAAACTTAAAAAGGTAGACTAAATATAATTCAAGTGTCATAATC